TGTACCGCGGATCAAACTCAGGTCCTTGTGCTTGCAAGGCAGGCCACCGAACCGCTGAGCTAAATCTCCGGCCATCACATATTTTTTATCATTATGTTTTACCACTTTTTTTGGCTTCTGAGCTGTAACTTTGGGTTGTTATTTATTTTCTTCTTGGTAGCACATGAGACTTTCTCCAAAACAGACCTCATAATAGATCATAGAATGTGCTTAACTGAATGCAAAGGAATTGAAATTATCCCATGCATATTATCAGATCATGGTACAATGAAATTGGAAATAAATGGCAAAAGAAACTAAAAAACTAGACAAACACATCAATAGTAAATAATACCCTTCTGAATAACTAGTGGGTTTTGATGAAATTTAAAAAGAAATTGGACAGTTTCTACAATGAAATGATAATGCCAACACAACATACCAGAACTTATGGGAAACGATAGCAGTCCTACAAGGGACATTTATAGTGGTGAATTCCCACCTCAGAAAAACAGAGTGAGCTCAAATAACCTAATGTTTTTTTTTTTTAATTTACATTTATTGGCACATTTTAAGAATACATATGATGAGTGTTAACTCATCATAGGGAGTTGGCACCTGTACATGGTACACCTAATGCTGAATCTCAAGGTTCAAGAAAAAGAAGAGTGGGCTGGGAATTTACCTCAATGGTACTGTGCCTGCTTTGCAAGCACAAGGTCCTGAGTTCGATCCCTGGTACTGAAAAAATAAAAAAGAAGAAGAAAAACAGAGGAAGTTAAACCCAAAGGAAGGAAATTATAAAGGTCAGAGCAGAAATTAATGTAACTGGGATAAGTGGCAATGAATCAAAGCGTGTGCTTCTCTCTCTCTCTTTTGATAGGGTCTCTCTAGGCAGTTCAATCTGGCCTTGAACTCACAGTGATCCTCCTGCCTCAGCCTCTCATGCTCTGGGTTTACAGGTGTGTACCACCATGCCTGGCAAAGAGTTGGTTCTTTGAAAGATTAAATAAAATAGACAAACCCTTAGCCAACCCTATCAATCAAAAGAAGAAAATAAAAGATCCAATTATTATGCTGATAGGAATGAAATCACAATAGATCTTGTAGAAATCCAGATCATCAGTACCTACTTTGAGAACCTGTACTGTAATAAGAATGAAAATTCAGAAGGAATGGACAGATTCCTAGACATGAATTATCAAAGTTAAACCAAGAAGATATAAAAATTCTAAATAGACCTGGATGTGGTGGTGTATTCCTGTCATTGCAGCACTCAGGTGGCTGAGGCAGGAGGATTGCTGGGAGTTTGAGATCAGCCTGGGCTACATAGTGAATTCAAGGCCAGCCTGAATTGCATGACAAGATCCTGTCTCAAAAACAAAAACAAAAACAAAAACAAAAATACTCAAATTTTCAACAATCCAATATCAGTTAATGAATTTGAAAAAGTAACTTAAAAACCCATCAAAAGAGAAAAGCCCAGGTCCTGCTGAATTGTACAAGAAATTTAGAAAAGCTCTTATGCTGATACTCCTCAAACTGTTTAATGATATCAAAAGGGAAGCGGTAATCCCAAAGTGATTCCAGGAAGCAAATATTACCCTGATACCAAAACCAGAGAAGGATGTGACCAAAAAAGAAAATGTCAAGCCAATCTCCCTAATGAATATAGATGCAAAAATCCTCAATAAGGTAGTAGCAAACAAAATGCAGCAAATTTTCAAGAAGATTGTACACCATGACTGAGTAGGATCTATCCCAGGGATGCAGGGATGGTTCAGCATATGCAGGTCAATAAATGTAATAAACCTTATCAACAGAATCCAGGACAAAACCACATGATCATCTCAATAGACGCAGAAAAAGCATTTGACAAAGTCTAGCACGCGTCCATGATAAAAAACCTAAAGAAAATTGGAACAGCAGTTCTTTATCTCAATCTGATGAAAGCCATCTATGACAAACCCACTGCCAACATCATACTAAATGGTCAGAAACTGAAAGCTTTTACTCTAAAATCAGGAACAAGACAAATATGCCCACTATCATCACTCCTGTTCACTAGAGTTCTAGGAACATCAGCCAAAACAATTAGAGGAAGAAATAAAAAGAGTATGGACAAGAGAGGAAGGGGTTAAATTTATCATTATTTGCAGATGACCTGATGCTCTACATAGAAGATGTCAAAAACTCCACCAAAAGACGCCTAGAATTAATGACCAAATTTGGTAGTGTAGCAGGATACAAAGTCAGCACTCAAAGATCAACAGCATTCCTGTACACGAATAACAAACTCACTGAGAGAGAAATAAAGGAAACAGCACCTTTCACAACAGCATCCAAACAAATGAAATACTTAGAAATTGATCTAACAAAGAAAGTGAAAGACCTATACGCTGAAAACTATAGTTCTGTGAAAAAGGAGTCAGACAGGACATCAGAAAATGGAAAGATATCCCTGCTCTTGGATAGACAGAACCAGTGTAGTGAAAATGGTCATACTTCCAAGGCTGTTAAACAGATTTAGTGCAGTCTCAATCAACATGTAGTAGTGTCTCAGTTCACGAATGCCTTTGTTTGCAATTTGGTACTTCTTTTCGGTGGAGTAACAAATTTGCTTTACTTTTTCATTTTTCCCAGTACGTGTTCACCAGACGTGGTGCTCACGCTCCTCCCAGGGAGTTCGTGCCCACATGTAGTTTATCCTTCTTCTCTTTCCCCCGTCCGCCTCCCCTCCCTTCAGGCCTTCTCCCCCTCCCCGGTTACAGAAGCTTTGTTTCCATCTTTCCTTCCATTCTTTGTTTTCTGATCTTCCCTTCCCTCCCTCCTCTCCCCTCTCTGTTCCCCTTCCCATTTGAATGTGTTCTTCCTACTTCCCAATCTCTGTCCTCGTTTTTCTCCTTGTTTACTCTTAGGGCTTCTCACACAAGAGAAATAATGAAGTAATTAAAATTGTATGTCATGTTTACTTTGCTTAAAATTATCGTCTTGAGGTGTATCCATTTTCCCACAAATGACTCAAGTTTATCTTTCCTTTTTTGGTACCTGGGATCAAACGTGGGTCCTTGCGCTTGCGTGGCAGGCAGCGGAACCACTGAGCCAAATCCCCGGACCAAGTCTATCTTTCTTTACGGCTTTTTTTTTTTTGGACAGTGTCTTGCTATGTAGTGTAGGCTGGCCTTGAACTCACTATGAAGCCCAGGCTGGCCTCAGACTTGTGGTGACCCTCCTACCTCAGCCTCCTGAGTGCTTGGATTATAGGTGTGCACCACCGCAGCCAGCTTCCTGCATCTCTTTTTAAGATCAAAACCTTGTCTCCTCAGGAGTCTTCCTATTGAGCAAAATACAAGAGGAAAATCCAAGGGCTGTTACCAGGGAACAGGGGGGATGGAAAGATGGGGAACAAGCCTAAATAACAGGTGTCCACTGCAGAAAGGCCGCTAGAATGAATGGAATTCAATCTGAGCCACTGTCATTTTCTTTAATAACTCATAGCTCTAATAAAACTAAAGTGGCTCCCTGGTAAGGTTACGTGGCTTCAGAGCAGGAAGAGCTTGAGACTCTCTCCACGTCACGGCATTATCCACAAAGGTTTGGTATTATCCTT